CCTCTTCTTTATGGCAACTTCAGCCTCTTGGCCAAGGTTAGGTTTCAAACGGGCCCATCGTTGAGGTTAAGTCATCGTTTGGCTTTGGTTTGCTGATATACTGACCAGCAGAAGGCTGTGTGGACAGGGGAGTCCTTGGTGCTCTCTGGGCTGGGTGGTTTTCTTGCAGACATTTCATGACCCAACTAGGGAACATCATCAGTGCCAGCGAGGGTGACTTGCTTCCTGTTTATATACAGTAGCTCTGAGCTTGGTGCTTTTCTTGCAGACGATTCATGACCCAACTAGGTAACATCATCAGTGCTAGAAGGGAGTGGGGTCTGTTGAATGGAGGAGGGGGAAGAGGAGGGGGAGGAGGACGACGACTGTGGGGTCCTTGGTGCTCTCTGACCTTGGTGGTTTCCTTGCAGACGTCTCATGACCCAACTAAGTAACATCATCAGTGCTAGAAGGGAGTGGGGTCTGTTGAATGGAGGAGGAGGGGGAGGATGGAGAGGAAGAGGAGGACGACTGTGGGGTCCTTGGTGCTCTCTGAGCTTGGTGGTTTTCTTGCAGACGTTTCACGATCCAACTAGGTAACATCATCAGTGCTAGTAAGTGTGACTTGCTCCCTGTTTACATACAGTAGCTCTGAGCTTGGTGGTTTTCTTGCAGACGTTTCAACACCCAACTAGGTAACATTCTCAGTGCTAGTGAGTGTGGATTCTAGTGTATGACTATACCACATACAGACACATCGGAAGAAAATACCTAACGACATAGTAATATTTGTGTAAATATTTTCTACCTTTCAGATTGAGGAGAAAGGAATGATTAAAATCACCTTGGCAATTCCAATTAATCGCATCCTACACACAACTAGCAAATCATCTTGTCACGGCCAACATCTGCAGAAAGGGGTGGCTGAGAGGTGTGGGGCGGGTCAGGCGCGGTGGGCGAGGGAATGGACCGGGAAAGGGATGTAGTGCTGTAGGTTGGGGAGAGGGTGCAGGTGTGCAGCAGAGGCTGAGGAGGGTGCAAGGAGGTGGATGAGGGTTTGGGGAGTGGGTACGTGTGTGTGTGTTTGTGTGTGTAGCGTTGGTTGGGTTGTATGAGTGGAGGGGCATAAGTGGCCTGCACAGCCTATCTGGAGAAGATAGCGCACAAGTGGGGCAGACTTACTCCAGCAACTTGCAACATTCCCCATGGCTTCCCCAATGAGTCATTGGAGAAGCCAGCAGGAAAAGTCCACAAAAGGTGATCACATGATCACAGGGCACATTGCCAAGCGCCCAGATCAGGACCTCATGACTGCGGAGGTCACTGAGTTAAGTCAAGGGCCACCTGTACTGTATATATAAACAGCCAAAATAGCATTAAATAAAACCTAGAATACACGTTTCTCAAAAGGCATTTTCACTTTCTCTTCCCTTCCCTGCAGAAACGCCAATGGCAAAATATTCTTTCGTTTGCTGACTGTCAGGAACAATTTGCATTGACACCTTAGGGATCAAGCCATGGATTATTTACCTTATTCGACCATTTATAGGCCTGGAGCAGCTGGCTGTAAAGGGGCGTTTTGTCTTGGACAGGATCGAGACTCAAGAGTCCGCTGTTGTGGAGGGGATGGTTTTCGGACGGTTTGCCCACGAGGTTACTCAAGCGTTCCAACTCACTAAGAGCAAATCATGAGAAAAACCATCGTTAGGAAGCGTCAGCGACTCGCTTTAACCACCGTGGCGAAGATAATAATAATAAAAAGGTAAAATCAGGAGCAATGCACCACCTTAGCCGACAATAAAAATTTGGTTCCCAATTGGAGTCGTAGGTCAAGGGCTACCTGCAAACAGGGTCACCTACCACCTTTCTCAGCGACCCCACCCCGACTAACAAAAAGTCCACAAATGCACAGGTGGATCCCACACACAATGTTGATTGCTTATTTAGTATCCTACAAGCATTACTGAGTGTTTGTATCTTATGAATTATGATGAATGCATTTTATGATTATCATCATGCTTTATTACCTGTTGCTTGTATCTGCACTGAGAGCTTGTACACCGGAGACAAATTCACACTTGGTCAATAAATGAATTCTATTCTATTCTATAATTCTATTCTATTCTGCATTCTATTCTAATTCTATTCTATTCTATTCAATTTCATTCTATTCTATTCAATTTCATTCTATTCTATTCTGCATTCTATTCTATTGTATTCCATATATTCTATTCTATTTCATTCTATTCTATATGCTATTCTATTCTGCATTCTACTCTATTCTGCATTCTATATTCTGCATTCTACTCTATTTCATTCTATTCTATTCTGCATTCTATTCTATTCTTATTATCAAGAATCAACTTACTCCTTATTTTACTGATTTCTTTCCTTTTTCCCTACCTCTAATTTTATTGTTTGGGCTCCATGCTCTTTCAAAGCACTTCCTATTTTATTTGCTGTGTCTGTATTTGCTACTTTAGTTGCGTTTCTCTGTTTCGCTTTCTCACTTCGACCTTTATTTCCTTATCATAACACGGAGTGTTTCATTTTATTGTTATTTCCTCCAGCCATTATGTTACTTCTGGTGTGTTCTGTTTGTCTCCTCTCAAATCAAGGAGTTCCTTGGTCTCTGTTTGGAGTCTGTTCAAATCACCCTACGTACCAATGCAACCAGGACTTACAAGACAGCTAGTCCTTGACTTACAGCCATTCATTTAGTGGCAGTTCAGAGATACAACAGTGACGGACGACCGTTTTTCACACTTTTCACCCTTATGACCATTGCAACATCCTCGGGGTCACATGATTTGACATTCGGGTGCCGGACAACCGATTCACATTTACGACGGTCACAGTGTCCCCGTGTGTGTGTGTGTGTGACGCAATCCCCTTTTGCGACCTTCTGACAAGCCAACGGGAAAACCAGATCCGCTTAACGACCGGGTGACTAATTTTAACGACTGCAGGGTTTCACTCAACCACAAGAGAGGCCGCAAAGCGGGGCCAAGCCGACTTTGCCAAGCGGGCTCCAAGGGTGGTGGTTGTAAGCCGAGGACTACCTGCACTGCGCCTGGCTGGGGAGGCTCTACGAGGGGCAGACCAGCCTGCTCTCCTCCCCCACCAAAACGACCAGAGGCCCTCTTGCTGCAATGCAGCATGGAGTTCCCAGCTCACCTTGCCAGTAAGGGGGTGGTGGGGAAGGGAGAGGATGATGGGCCACGTGGTCCCACTCCCTGCGCAGCCAGGAACCAGGCGAGGCAGCCCGAGCACCGCCCCCTTGCCTGATTACCCTACGTGGCCACGCCCCTCCAGCCGGGCTAGCCGCGGCTGGAGGGAAGAAGGGGCGTGGCCTCCGCCCCTCCGCCACGCCCACCCTCCCTCGCTCGCCCCGCCCCGGCCGCCTCACCCCAAGTCCCGGCTGACGGAATGGAGGCTCTCCTGGAAGCTGGCGAGGAAGCCCTTCTCGCGGCCTTCCACGGCCTCCTTGTGCCGCCGGCCGTCCTTGAGGCAGTCGAAGACCCGCGTCACGCTCGAGCGCAGCGCCTGGATGGCGGCTATGGCCTGCGCGAAGGCCTCCAGGTTCACGCCGGCGCTCAGCACCCCGTCCGCCATCTTGCTCCCTCCCAGCCGCGGGGAGCGCCGGGAAGTGTAGTCCGTCCGGCGGAAGCCCGGGCTTGGCGGCTCGGCGCTGAGGGAAAGCGGCCCGTCGCGCAAAGCAGCCTGGGAGCCCAGCGGAGGGGGCTGGCCCGCCGCGGGGCCCGCCGGGAAATGTAGTGCATTTGGGGTTTCCGCATTCATTTTAGGCAGATTAAAAGTTGACTCTCTCTCTCTTGCTGAATTTGTTGCTTTATTTTGATTTATTGCTGGGTTTAATCACATGGATTTGGCTTTAACTGTCGCCTTCTTAATAAGGACCAATGCTTCACCAGCTTTGACCTTGGAAATTAAACAGAATTAAACCGTGCTCAAGTTAGACAATAAATAAATAAAGTGATCCCAGCAGACAATAAGGCTGCTTCTGAGAAAGTTGCATTAGCTTAAATTAATGTCTTTAATTATTTGCTGTTAATTCTTTGCTCCTTCCTTCCTTCCTCTAATTTTCATTGTTTTGGCTCAATGCACTTCCTAACTTTATTTGCTCGGCCCGAATTGGCCACTTTAGTTGCAGTTCTCTGTTTGGCTGTCTTGCTTGGACTTTTATTTTCTTATCCATAGCATTGATTGTTTCATTTTTCTTGTTATTTCTTCCAGGAATTGTGTTACTTCTGGTGTGCTCAGCTTGGTTACTTTCAAATAAAGTAGTTCCTCCATCTGTGTTTTGGTCTCACTCGTAACATTTGTATTTGGACTTTTTTATATATTTTTCCCGGTTTGCTACTTTAGTTGCTTTTGCTGCCTGTATTTGTGCTTGCCGTTTTATGGATTTAGACAACCAGCTCTTTTTTCTTTGGCAGTTCCCCCCCCCCCTGCCCCAAAGATGCAAACGAATTCAACTGACTTCCAGTAAGCACGCAAATAAAACCCTCTTAATCACACCCGTTTTTCAAAACACCCAGAGCAGCCTTTAAAATTGGCGGTACAGGATGGATACATCGTAAAAAGAAAGGGCAGCAGAGTTAAATTATGCAGAATTTGTTGGGCACTAGAGGTTGGAAGCAAACTAAAATAAGGAAGGAATTACACAATTTGTGGTATAGGTAAAGCCCTTGCTTTAGTGATCATTCAAAGTTACAGTGACACTGAAAAAAAGGGGCTTGTGATAGTTTTGCACATAACCATTGCAGCACCCCTATGATCACGTGATCAAAATCCAGAAGTTTGGCAACAGGCTGGTACTTATGACAGCTGCAGCGCCCCAGGGTCGTTTGATCCTCTTTTGGAACCTTCTGCCAACAAAACATAAACTAAAACATACGAAGAACGGCTGCGGGACATGGGTTTGGCTAGTCTAAAGAAAAGAAGAAATAGGGGAGACATGATAGCAGTGTTCCAGTATTTGAGGGGCTGCCACAAAGAAGAGGGGGTTATTCTCCAAAGCACCAGAGGGAAGGATGAGAAACAACGGTTGGAAACTGATCAAAGAGAGAAGCAACCTAGAATTAAGGAGAAACTTCCTGACAGTGAGGACAATTAACCAGTGGAACAGCTGGCCACCAGAAATCGTGGGTGCTCCATCACTGGAGATCCTTAAGAAGAGGCTAGACAGTCACTTGTCTGAGATGGTATAGGATTCTTCTGCTTAAGCGGAGGGCTGGACTAGAAGACCTCCAAGGTCCCTTCCAGATTCTATTCTATTCTCCCAGCCGGCTTTCATGCCTAAGGCAGGACTAGAACTCTCGGTCTCCTGGTGATTGATCCAAAGTCACCCAGCCAGCTTTCACGCCTAAGGCAGGACTAGAACTCTCAGTCTCCTGGTGATTGGTCCAAGGTCACCCAGCCAGCTTTCACGCCTAAGGCGGGACTAGAACTCTCAGTCTCCTGGTGATTGGTCCAAGGTCACCCAGCCAGATTTCATGCCTAAGGTGGGACTAGAACTCTCAGTCTCCTGGTGATTGGTCCAAAGTCACCCAGCCAGCTTTCACGCCTAAGGCGGGACTAGAACTCTCAGTCTCCTGGTGATTGGTCCAAGGTCACCCAGCCAGATTTCATGCCTAAGGCGGGACTAGAACTCTCAGTCTCCTGGTGATTGGTCCAAAGTCACCCAGCCAGCTTTCACGCCTAAGGCAGGACTAGAATTCACCATCTCCCACTCTCTAGCCTGGTGCCTTAACCACTGGACCAAACTGACTCCACTAATAATTCTACTAATAATTCAGTAATTCGACTGAAGTAATTCGGCAATTTGATTTCTGACTTCCAAAAGAAGATCTGATTTTCCTGTTCTGGGAAACCCTGGAATCGATGCCAACCCATTCCTGTGTCTTAATAAAGCTACTGCAGCAGCAAACTTGAAAACGTTTTAAGTCTTGCGCTGAATGACAACAGATGGAACAAAAGTCCCCGGGAGCATTATGTAGAGCAGATGAGAAGACTTGTTGTGTTATACCTACACAGCATGTTGTCTTGGCTTGCCAAGAAACACAGACGAAAGCCTAGATAAGTGATTCTCCGGGATAAAAGGTCTGGAAAGGTACAAATATTGGGAGGCAAAATCAAGGGTCAAAGTACAGAGTACAACTGGCCCTAAATTCACCCTCTGAGCTTAGGTGATCCAACATCTCCCTGCTCATTCTTGGGCACCTTCACCGTAGCATCACAACGGGGATGTCTAGCCACCATTTGTAAGTCGAGGACTATCTGTACAGGTGCTCCTCGACTTACAACCACCACGGAGCCCAACATTTATGTTGTTACGTGAGAAATTTGTCCAAGGAGTTTTGCCCCATTTTACAAACTTTCTGGCTAAAGTCAATAATGGCATCCCTGCAGTTGTTAAGTCACACGGTTGTTAAGTGAATCCGGCTTGACTCGTCGGACGGTCGCAAAAGGGGATCCCATGACTCTGGGATGCCGCGTCCGTCACAAATGTGAGTCAGTTGTCAAGCATCTGAGTGTAAATCACGTGTCCACGGGGATGTCGCAACGGTCGTAAGGGTGAAAAAAGGCCGTAAGTCATTTTTTTCGGCGCGATGGTAACTTCGAACAGTCACTCAATGTTATAACTTTGAGGACTAGCAGTCTCGGTCTCCCTTCCATGCGCTGGCCGGCTTGATCCCTGCTTAGCCTTGTTTATTTCCCCTCCAATGTCAGCTAAGGTTGCAGCTGACTCTCCTTCCAAAAAGGCAGATTATATGCAAAGCCCTGTTTAAGGCTTTAACTGGCTTAGTCCTCTGTTTTTCCGCCGTCTCCGTTCCCGGCAACCGGTCTAAACCGAACGATTCAAAAGCAGTCATGGGTAGGGGGGATCCCGATGGACGCACGTCCGTCTTCGGGGACAGCTTTGAAATTCCAGGGGTTGCACCCCAACAACTCTGAGCCTCGAATCCTCGCCATCTGAAGTCGCCGCAAAAGCTTCGCACCTTATCCTTTCAAGATGACACTCTCGAGCGAGGGATGAGCTGGTTTTAAAAATAGCACACACCTTTCCAAGAAGTATTTGTCATACTATTTCCGCAGGCCCGGTCCTCAAATATTTGGGCATTTTTATCGGCAGCCGTAATTGGTTTCACGGTCAGGCTGCAGTGGATTATAAAAATGATTTGGTGTTTGCCAGAAGAAGAAAAAACGACAAACCCCAAAGCGCGAGAATAAGCAAATTATTCTGGAATTTAGGAGAGACAATCTAGCCCGCCATAAGAGTGAAATATTTTATTATTATCCAGGCAGAATAATTGCTTGAAAATAGAGCTGTGAAGACATTTGAAAGAGGGGGAGGGAAGGAAAAAAAAAAAAAAACCTCGCAGATGGTCTGGATATAAATCCCAACTGCAGTCAATCTACTTATCTCTCTCCCAAATGGGGAGGGGGATTGCTTTTCTGCTTTTTTCCCCAAAGGCTCTGAAGCATATGTGCTCTTCGTTCCATCAAGAGGTAGGCTTCGACTCATCTTTTGCCCTTCTGCTGTTTGGGGACCACTCCCATTATATAATCGGCAGCCGTGGATTTTACTTTTCTATCTATATATCTATATCTATATCTATATCTATATCTATATCTATATCTATATCTATATCTATATCTATATCTATATCTATCTATCTATCTATCTATCTATCTATCTATCCATCCATCCATCCATCCATCCATCCATCCATCCATCCATCCATCCATCTATCTATCTCTCTATCTCTATCTCTATCTTTATCTCTATCTCTATCTCTATCTCTATATCTATCTATCTATCTATCTATCTATCTATCTATCTATCTATCTATCTATCTATCTATCTATCTATCTATCTATCTATCTATCTAGAGATAGAGATAGAGATAGAGATATATTTACCTTTTGCAAAAAAAAAAGATAGAGAGGCAAAAAAGGAGCAGCTTTTTAGGAGCAGCTTCAGAATCAGTTGCCGGGAATGGGTTTTGATTCTCATATCAGAGAGGGAAAAAAATGATTTTTTTTCATATTTTCAAGAGCACAATAAAGACGCCATATTCAAAGGCAGTCTACCTTAAACATGTGAGAGTGGCAAAACAAAAAAAAATGCCAGGCTGTAACCCTCTGGTCCAGCCAGTTCAGTCTAGTGGTTAAGGCACGAGACTAGAAAGTGGGAGATGGTGAGTTCCAATCCAGTCTTAGGCGTGAATGCCAGTTGGGTGACTTTGGACCAATCACCAGGAGACGGGGAGTTCTAGTCCCACCGTAGGCATGAAAGTCAACTGGGTGACTTTGGGCCAATCACCAGGAGATGGTGAGTTCTAGTCCAGTCTTAGGCATGAATGCCAGTTGGGTGACTTTGGACCAATCACCAGGAGA